AGCAGCTGGGCTTGAGACTGATCTTCGTCTGGCCTCTACTCATTGACTTTTCAGGCATGATTGGATCTACGGCTGTGAGGAGCGATCCTATATAGCTCATAGGGTCATGGAGGCACGCAAACCATCACACCACGTCAAGGCTCAGTCTCGTCGTGATCATCGGCATTAGTCCACTGAACTTTTCAATTTTCTCTTCGATCCTACTTACAACGTTCCTGTTTTCCTCCCATTGTTCACCCAAATGGGCAGCCAAAAGACAGTTACCAAAAGCGACGCACGGAAGTGCATGCTTAATGGTTATTTAATCTGAATCTGGCAGCGATCTGTGATCTTCGCTTCCCTGTATTTCGGTGTACGATGATGATGATGAAACGGTGCACACAAACTCGGGCAGCCGTATCAGCTGCGTAGTGACCGAGTCAACAGCGCGTTAAAATTCCATCTGTGAGATTCCGAGGTACAATCCTCAGACGAGTTGATAACCACGAGCCAAAGCTGACACACTACAAATTGGAGACAGTCTTTTAGTTTTGAATTTCTCTGTTCTTTAAACGGTGCGTTTATTGAAATTGACGGTGATCCACGTCGAATTGCATGCACTACATGAAAAAACTACGTAACAGAAAATATTAACAACATACCGAACTTTGAGGAAACTGGATCCGCCCCGACTAATCATAGCCGTGAACTCGGTCAGCAAATACTTGGAGACTACGACTGGGGTATCGGGTAGGGGCTGTTTCCGTTGTATGTCGGTTGAATGCAACCCGTAGAGAGCAAGCATGTGACTGGTTAGGGCCAAGCATTGGGCTATCCTCGTCCGATTACCCGTCCCCGTCCGGGCAGCTTCTTTCCCGTCCAGGGCAGCAGTGGAAAGCGCGAGCAAACGACTGAGCACACACGGCTGATAGACGCCCTGCTCTGACCACTGTTGATAGGAGCGGGCAGATGCCGCGGCCAATGTCTCAACCTCCGGGGCCAGAGCTTGCAACACACGCGATGGGATCAGTTTGTCTAATGGGTACACGTCCTGCGGGCACGATGCATTCAGATTGAACGGGGGAAGTAGACGGGTCCGTTCATCCACAGGTTTGGCTGTGGCTATTTGGATTTATAGGCAATAGTGAGAAAATAACCATTCAGCTGGTGTGCATGAACAAAAAAAGAAAGAACTCAACAAATCACCGGTTCAGTCCAATGAGGCAAAGCGCAATGCGCATTCGTACGGATGTATCCAAGCTGCAATTGATTTCTTTTGCGTTTAAACGAAACAATATAGTCACCACTTTGTGTGTGGATTTTCAAACTCTGTTTTTCCTACTCCAAAATCATGCAAACAAGGAAAACAGACTGTACAACTGAGACTGCGTACGGAAACAGTTCAGGTAAAATGTCAAGATAGTGTATTCCGGGTGGGACGTGTACTTTTAGACAAGGTTGGAGGAACTGCAGACGATATGTGCTAACCGTAGCACAACTGAAGGCAGTTCTGTTCAGCTTTTTAACTATTAACCGTGCACCTCTATGCGGTGTTTTTGGTTGTGGTCTTTTGATCGTTTATTTGAATCAAAGAGCAAAATGAAGAATGGAAATGTTAAGAGTAGAGTGAAGAAGAGAGAAAAATCACATAGACTAGGATGGCAAGGATGAAGGGTGGATTTACTAACGCCACTCAGCCATTTCACTCAATGTCGCTAACCGCAGGTTACCACGATCTTGAGGTCCCCATCCGTGGAGCCTAACCCTAACTGTGTGACCGAGTCTCTTGGTCAGGGTATTCATACACTCATACCACGTATTAGTTTGACCCTCTCTTGACATTTTTCCATTCACTGCCCACACGGGCAACGTGCTCCGTTGGAACCTATTTGGTGACAGACGCAACACATGTCACAACAAGTATAGTCTATGGAGGTCGACCACTTGCGCCAGTGGACGATTGAACTACCAGACTGTGGTATCCCTTGGGATACATTCCATCTTATTTGAACTCTCTGTGGTGATCCCGAGAAGCTAAGGTGTACATCAGTAGCCACAGTTTGGCAAACCGCTTAAAGGGGGGATCAAACAAAGTTGACGTTAGTCGAGACCAGAACCATCGATGGGAAAGCGTACGGCACGCGAAAACAGCTACTGCTTTGTTATGAAGGGATAAGACTATCAGGAAACTCTGACGACATAAATGCACGGATTCCGGGGTTGCATCAACTGCTGTTGAATGGTGAGTAAGCTACCAGGGAGCCACCGACAACCATGCGACAACACTAAGGTCGTGCTGTGCAAAATTTGACTGTACAAACGATAAAGATACATCCTGGAAAAAGCGCCCATGGTTGATGGAAAAGTCTCGTGTACGAAGCTTCTATGAAACTTCACCATCTGAATGAAGTCGGCTAATCGGTTCCAATCAGTCAGCCGTGGCAGGGTGAAGTATCATAAATGACCAGGTTGGCTGTCCAGCAGCTCATTGGATGAGCAGTTTGTGCGACGATAAACCCACGCGACGCTGACAATGTCCCAAGCCACAACCGGACAACCTTCAGCTTCACGTGAATGAAACGGGCTGGGTGAACAACAAAACTACAGTACTATGGTGAGTGTACTGTAATAATTCCACAGAACCAGTGTCGGATTGAGGAGAGTTGTTTGGTGAAAGAACGACATGATTAGGGGGTAAATCCGATTAAAGAAAAGCACTGGAATTAGTGTTTCACGTAGGGTAAAACGAAGCCCAGCCACACTGTGGTTATCTGTTCCTTTAGATGACTTCCTCCTGAGGTGAGAATAAGTCGATTCTATGGGTGAAAAATCAGCACTTGACTTTTTCCTTCGAGAGTCCGACTGAAGCCCTCACAGAATTGGAAGGTTTTTGTTGCACAGAGATGGCTTGATGGGTCAAAACCGGTAACGTCCACGGGCGTCAATGCTGATCACCCGCGACCGCTTTACCAACGAAGCAATGAACAGACATTAACAGTTTGTGTACACGTATTGTTAATCGTGCGATCATGCGGTTATTCAGCGGCTTTTAAAGTTTCATAGGTGGAACAATTGAAGTAGACTAAATATGGTTGTAGAACCAAATGGGCGGCGGTAAACTATCAAGGCTAGTCTCACGCACAGCTTGGACGGACACAGAAAACACAGTGAGACCCAAGGCAGTTTACTTTTACGTTAACCGTGATTGACTAGGTCACTTGACACCCGCGTACAATTTCAAACCTGGTGGTACAGAATGGCGTGTAGAATTGTGATACAGTCAAACCAAACAGAAGGGTACAGTTATAAACACAGAAAACCGAAACAGTAGTAAGAAGTTACTGAATAAATAATCGTTCAATTTTGGTATTCTGTCATTTGGCATTAAATATTCAATGTGGCGTAGTTAATGGATGTTGTCATTTATATTGAGGCTACTTGAATAGTTATAGTAGTCAAATTGCAGACGCTGAAACATTCAAATTCTCTTCCGGAGAATTTACAGTGGTGGTTGTGATAAATCAAACACATCGGGTTGTCAGAATTTACATTAAACAGTTTGGCATAAGCCATGTGGAAAATACCATTTTTCCATATCAAAGTGACTATTTTCCGAAGTAGTTTTATACAATTTCGGAAAAGCTTCAGTCCACACCACCGGCCATAGTCGATCCTGATTTGTCCATTTCAGGCTAATTTTCAGGGTCATTGCTGGTCGGTCCCGAAACTGTGTATAAGCAAATGAATTGTCCGTGGCCTTCGCCTTATGGGTCGAGCCAAATACACAACCTCGACCGGAAGAGCTGTTTGTCTTCTGCCCTCCCTCTGGTTGGATTCTGGGGTCATGCTACTCTAGCTGGGCATTGTTTCCGGTTCTCTTAGGAACTGAGCTGGTTACCGCAGTCGGACGTATTCGTGTACTGTTCACTGGGTCATTCCGGTTCCTGTTCGCCGTCAATCCCACTACTCGTTCCATTTGGGTCACGGTTCAGATTAGTCCGGTCGTATCGTCCTCTATCCCAACGTTAGAACATTGAAAATGAACATCACATTAGGTCAACTAAAACAAAAATCGATGAACAAATACTACTACTCATCAGTAACACAACAATCATACAGTTCTTCTCGTACGGGCACCTCTTCCAGATACCGATCATGGTCCAGTAACATAGATGAAAAGAGAGCGAAACAAACCTACCCGAGTCCGAGGTGTTCGCCGCGTCGGATTCCTGTTTGAGCCGATTCTGACCGTGCATCGCACGACTGATCACCGAGGCCTCAGTGATCGCGGAACGTTGATCCGCGTTCCGTTCGATCTCTTTCAGCAGTTTCTGACGCTTGGCTGATCCAAAGGCATTGGTCAGGGCAGCACGCTGCAAGTGGGAAAGAAAAGGATTCACAAACTGTCCGATGCGATATTGAAACCAAAATGGTCGGAGACGTCTGCAGTACGAATAAGTGTTCTTAAGTTTCCTATCCTTTTTCAGGCACACAATGGTTGAACACGGTGAACACTAAAGACGAACAAACAGAAGTGTGTCAGCGGACACATGAGAATCCCTTGCACCATACGAACCTTGTGAGTCCCCTTCCCATATACAGCTTGTACCTTGCATTTTTGCCATTCGTTCCGTGCTACAATATACGTTCTTGCGCGATAGTCGTGTTCTCCCGTTGTGAGCGTGTCTGACACAACGAGAGATGCGATCGAGTGTCCGTGGTCACGAGCGTCGATTACTATCATTTCACAGCGTTTCCGCGGCTCTCCATACGTGCTGCATAATTTCTGTACCCCTCGTCACAATTGGTGTCAGAGGTGGGATCAATTGTGACAAACCTGGCTGGTATTTGCTATTGTTTGGATTAACAGCCAGCCTGATGTCGCAAGTGAATCTACCGGATACAAGCGAAGTTTGCTTGGTGTCTGATAGGCGAAATGAATGAACACAGAATCTTGTTATGGGTCTGTTGAAATGACATCCCTGTGGACGAACATTAAACAAATCAAATTATAACTAATTATGAGAGACAGGGAACAGGAAAAGTCGTGTGGTAGTTTATCCATCCGATCCAACGATCGAGTACTGTACGCAAATGTACGCACATCATGGGATTCAGTAACAAAGCGATCCCAGTTGTCACGTTTCATCAATTTAACCTCAAGGTCTTAGAACTGCGGATTTTTCACCTGTCCTATTCGTCAGTTACGGCTCATTTCTGAATTTTCCGCATCCCTGCAAACACGCCAGTTCTACATGACTAGTTAATCTCATTTGCTGGGGTTATTGATCGCATTCACTATCAAACAAGACGTGTGTGAACTTTTACCCGTTCGTATCTTGCACTTTTCAAGTCACGAAGGGTTTTATGCACCCAAAGAGTGAACTTTCAGCAATTTACAGTGGATATTTAAAAAATTGCGATCAGCAAAAAATAACAGAAAACTGAAAATTCGATAGAGTAGTGAAAGAAAAATTCTAGTGCAGGAGTCTTTCTCGGAGATGAGTGACGATTGTCTCACGTTTCACATTGTTTATGTATGAGGAGGTGCGTGCAGGAAGAAGTTGATGTTTCGAGCGCGTTCGGGGATTTCACGCGGCTTTCTTGATTTCGGGATACAGACAGTGCCCTTGATCACGCGTTAACCTATCAATAAATGTATCTGAAGCGTCCAAATACTTAGAGGTAAAAGATTCAACCAAAACAACTCTAGCAATGCCACTGTATCGGGACACAGCTTAAGCGATCTGGAGAACAACGGGAAGTTTTTTCTTTTAAACCAGGGATACATATCGGGGATCAGCATGACCAGTGTAGAAAGACGCAAGCGGTCACAAATTTAAGATTATATGGCAAGGGCCGGTTTCCTGAGTTTGTATGCATAAAAGGACAGTTATTAAGATTTTATAAAATCGTTATTAGCATGAGCAAACCAGGACAAATGACATGTGTGAGGGTGACATTGAGTCCTCTGTACAGCATAAACTAATTTCGAACAACGGCGGGCGTTACTTTGAAGTTATTTTATCCATAAGTCGTAAAACGCATGCAAAAACGACAGTTCCTATTTTGATCAGCACGAATGCCCGGCCCCTATTTGGAATAATGCTCGACTTGAGTGGTTTAGCAAAAACTTGAGTATCCACTTCAACAAATGTGTGCTGCCGCAGATGACAGCTGGGCATACGCAATACGTACCCTAGCCAGCGAAGTCTACTAATTCGAATTCGGTGTGCCAGCAGGTTTATCCCAAATACACGACGGCCTACCTCCAGACTACCAACCCGCTCGCTTCATCCCATGGGGTCAAACAACGTAAACACCGATAAACGACAATTTATACTCGACGGAAAACTTCTACTGGTAAATTCAAGGTCTCGCAGTCATAAAGCAGAACTGGACGAACGGTGGCACCTTACAACTTCAGCGAAACGTCGCGTCTATACCAAAGATGTTTTAGTCCTGCGTATGCTGCTAGAGCCTTGGAAATGTGGGGGTTATCTCTTGTGCCGCGCTTCCCTCATTGGTCACGCAACTACCTCGGTACGAAAAGTGGACCCCTATAATCAATTCCTGGTCATTTAGTTTCAGAGCGGGAGTAGGAGACACCCAGTCTTGCAGCATCACTTTGCACTTGGAAGGTGCAAATCACATACCGAACGTGGCAACAGCACTTATAAGTCTATCAAGTGCGTTTTGTGTAGCCCGTGTCCATTCGAACAGACAGACAATATCATCGGCGTTCTCCAAATCGCACAGCTTTTCTCTAGCTTCGCATTCAATACCTACGTTTTAGAGACCAATTAGTGCGTTCTTCAGTATTTCTTTCACGATAAAATTGAACAGGAGTGGCGAGAGAGAGGGCATCCTTGACGAACGCCACTGCTGGTGACGAAGGGCCTACTTAGCTCGTTGCAAACCCTAACTCGTCCAGAGGTATGTGAGTAAAGTGACCTCAGTAAGTTAACATATTTCTGGGATATTCCTTTTCAAAGAAAGAATTCCATCCGCGTCTCGCAATCAACTGAGTCGAAGGCTCCTTTCAGGTCAAGGAACACTGCGATCGGTGGTCGACAGTGGGTGTGACGCAGCTCAATGACCGGACGGGACGCAACACTTAAATCAGTACATCCACGGTCAGGCAGGAATTCGGCTTGCTGTTCAAGGATGTTAATCTCTCTCTTAAAGGAATCAGACGTGGAAACATGACCGAGGCTAACACTTTGATAACGATCGGGATTAAACTTATCCTGCAGTGATTTTCGCAA